AACTGCATTAACTAGCTACAGTATATTTATCCATTTGAAGCAAGTCTTTTGTGAACGCAGAAGAAAATTTTCACTCTTTTACAACTCAAAAAGCTTTGAACAATTTTCCATGTGCATGCAAAAGTTTAAAAGAATCATAAAACAAATGGAGCAAGGGAACGGTTTTCAGTGGGTCAAATCAACAAATGTTACGTATTTGCCCAGATGTCATTTTTAGTTTTGTAGCTAGTCAGTTCCAGTCAGAAAGAAGGAACCAGTTCCTTTGCAGGTAACTTACAATTTTGTGTTTCAGCCACAGATGCTGATATACTACCACAAACCTTTAAAACAACTATTTCTACTCTCTTCTGCTCTCTTCTGTGTATGCATTTGAGTGTTTTTAACTAAATATGTTTCTATCTGTATTCCATTTAATTGTTTTCTCATACATATTATAAATATGAGCTGATTTGTGTCTTTACAATGTTTGCATGTGAACATGATTTCTTGTGTCTATGGCAATATCTCTATTCATATAGTTGCAGACTCAGGATAGCAGTCCAGGGAAGAAGTGAGGATCCCCCCTGCAGCCGCTGGCCAATGTTCAGCTGTTTGCCCTCACACTGCGCTTGTGATTAACTCCTCACTGGTGCTGCGTTCACACATCTCTATCTGTCTTGTCACTTCTAAACTCCCACTCAAGGCTCTCATCTGTCAGTGAGCCGCTTAAGACTTGCTCAAACATATGTGTAACGGACACAGTAAAAGGCTGCCCCAATTTTCACTTGTGGACATGTTCAAATCTAGACGCTAGTGCATGTAATTTGTAAATAACCCAGTACATTCATTAAAAAAAACAGAGGGAAAACAATGACAGAACATTATGAATTATTGACTACAAGTCTGGATAATATGTTCATTATTTAAGAGCAACTACTGCTGCTTACTCAAAACTCATTGCGAAATGAGTTGCAAGCCTTTTTAAATAAATAAATAAATAAATAAATGAGCAGCCAGGTACCTTCCTTGTGCTATAGGTGCTTTTGACACACTTCAGTCTAAGGTGGTACCTCAGTTTGTCTGTGGCATCTATCTATCCATCCATTCATCCATCTATCTATCTAAATTGCAAACAGTATGGCAAACAGGTGGGTTGCTGAAAAATATTTATTTATTTGTATGTATGTATATGATTTCCAGCATTTTTAAAGATTAAATGAAATCCAAATTTCTGTCAATTTTGAGTCAAAATCAAAATGTTGTGGCTTTTACTCCATATCTATCTATGGATCAATAATATTGATGATAATGCTACAATCAAATGTTCGTCCTACTAATACTAAGCCCTGTTACTCACAAAACCCTAAAATACTTTTCCCTCTGGTTACATTTCAGAACAAAAATTGTGCACACACAGATAAGGAAGAAAATGCAGATGAATGAGGATTTGAAGTCTAACAAATGCCTCTTTGAAACTTTTTAAAGTTGGATTGGATTTATGATAAATGTTTGATCATACCTCTTGAACAAAAGAAAACTGTGTCAGGCTGTGTGAAGGAAAGGCACAGGAAATTATACTAGATATTTATTAGGATAGACTGGTGCATTTGCTTTATAGATGACTTTTACGGTCTCTTTCACTGCATACTCAGTGAAAATAATTAATACACAGATGGTGTTATGTACTGTATGTTGTGGGGCATGTATGGATAATTCAGGAGCCACTGAAATGATGGATTGAACCACAACATTTAGATGTGATATCATCCATTTATCTCAGCAAACAGCACACAGTTTGATCCAATAGCAGATGGTAAATGTCATAATGTTCAGCAGTGGCACATTTAGACAACACACTTAAGGCTCTGAATATTCACTTGGCATAAATTGGCCTAACCCACACATGCATACAAGCAAACCAACAGAGGATTCATCCTCAAGGAGACTCATCTGGGAGATCTTTTTCCAGCACTTTTGCGGAAGATCATTAGATGGTTTGAATGTTGGAGGCACATTTTTCATTCAGTCAATCAGGTCATGAGATGCATTAAAAATGAACAGTCTCAATTCAATCAGACACTGGTTTGCGATCTCTCACAGTCCTAAATTAAATTTACTGCCTAAATGAAATCAATCCACTGAACGTACAATTTAATTTTACAATTGACCTTGAATGGCTGACATTTGCCTACTTATTCAGCAAATAAATAACACATGACTAAATTGTGAATGCTGTTGAAAAGATGGTGGGTTGCCAAATTCAGAAAAGGAAAATAAGGGACAATTGTGATTATTTATAGGAAAATAAGGGACACTAAAATATTTGTACTGTACCACATGTATGTCACTGTCTGCAGTTGAATAGATGTATAAAAGGTGTATAAAAGGTTCTCAAAAAGAATCAAGTTTTGCTTAACTTATTCATGTACAATTACTCAAAAAATAATTTTAATGTCAAACAAAACAAAACAAAAAACTAAATGTCACACTTGTTACACACAAACCATCGGCCTGAGTAAATTGTACTATTATAGAATTGTGGTGTAGTAATTTAGGAGGTGGATATACTGTGAAATTACATAGCCTACATACATGGCTATGTGGCATAAATTTTGAAAGCATAAAAACTGAAAATCTGAAATGTCAGTCAATAAAGCATTTTTAAAAAACTGGCAAAATTTTACTAAAATGTTTTTGCAACCATATAGGCCTAGTCTATATGAATGAATGAAAATGCATACTTTTGAATTAAAGATAACTTAGAGACTCTCTTAGGTAAACTTTTGAAATATGGGGACACTCGAAATGTCCTCATAAATCTCCCCATAAATCAACTCATTGTAATACCTATATCATACCCATGTCATTATACAAATTTGTGTCCTCATAAATCATAAAAACGTGCGGCGCACACACACACACACACACACACACGTATTTCTAAAATTATAGGGACATTCCATAAGCAGTGGCTTATACTGTACAGACAGTATATTTTATCCCCCTACATGCCAGTATATTCTATAACCCTACCCTAAACCTGCCCATCACTCAAAACGTTCTGTATTTTTACATTTTCAATCATTCTGTATGATTTATAAGCTTGTTCCATCATGGGGACCTAAAAAAAATGTTCGCATAATGTTAGAATTTACTGGTTTTTCTATACTTGTGGGGACATTTGGTCGAATTGGTCCCCATAACTTAGGTAATACCAGTACACACACTCACAGCCTCTGAATATGCATTTTATTTTCTATGATTGAACTGTTACTGCAGGCACATTGTTTTTCCATTTTTGTAGCATAAACACCATCAAACCGATGAAAGTATGCTTGAAAATACAGGACAAACGCATGCGTTCCCTTGTATAACATTTCAAAATAAGATTTTTAAGGTTATTTTTGAAGGCATGGATGTATCCTTTGCTTATAATTTCCCACAATCTTGAATAGACACAACAGTCAGGGGCCAAAGGGGTTGCAGGCTTTTCTCTGATAGAATTATAGGCCTATAGCGTCTCGTACTCAATACACTGGCACAGAACAGTTTAACATGAACACTAAATTCTTATAAGGACCCCTGGTCATCTCTAAATTGTGTCTTCAGGGATATTTTCTTATATTGATGGTGTTTGGTGTTGCATCTTCTGTTCTTCTCTCTCCTCTCCGGTCTGGAGGAGAGTCTTATCCAGTGCTTATCACACAAATTTATTCTTGTTTCCCCCCCTCTCTGCACTTTAGCCCATTTTCAGCATTCACAACTTCAAAGTATCATTAGGCGATATGATATCCCAGCATCCCTTATCTCTGTACAACACTGATGCTTCTTTTGAACTTTAAGCTGGGATGGTGAGAGACGAGACATTGTAGGGAGTAACGACGAAGCGATAATATTTGGCAGATTGACGAGGTCAACGGCTTGTTTCCCAATGTTTTCATAGAGCAAATAGTATTAGGTTTCCTATTAATGTCCATTCATAACCTGCATTTACCTTGCGGAAATGAGAAAAAAGAACACACTCAAGTTGAGTGATGGCAATTTTAGCACGTGCTCAGTAAATTTCTTTGCCTGAGGAACACAAAACATGCGATCATTTTATTCTGAAGCATTTTCAATAATATTCATAACATTAAAGAGACAGAAACAGACAGACAGACAGATAGACAGATAGATAGATAGACAGATAGGAACTACAGCATTGTAGTTATAACTGTGGTACATTGGCACCCTCTAATGGTCAAAACAAGTAGCGAACGACTTAAAAGATACCATAGGCTCACTCTCTCTGTCTGTCTGTCTGTCTGTCACAAGGTTGGTAGATGGGGAAAAAAGAAAGAAACCTTATTAAACCATTTAAATAAACTTTGAAAGCCTTTATATTTGTCTACAAATTCATATTTAATTACTTTTTTCATTTTTTAACATTAAATTGACTTTTTTTTTTAAAATTGGATTTTAATATTTACATAATAATATACTATGGAATTATAGGATTGTCATCCTCAGATTTATGTTTTCAAAAACAAAAACTTGTTACAGTAAACACTTAAATTTTCATGTATATATACAAAATCACAGAAAGACAAAACATCAAGAGGGGAAAAAAGTATATATTAAGTTTTATTTCCATGTAACCTAGGAACTTAACCCTATTGAAAAAAACAGCATATGCTGGTTAGGTGTGTTTTGAAGCATGGCAACTGGTTTGAGCTGGTCCTTAGTTGGTCATGAGCGGGTTTAAGCTGGTCCACCTTAAACCAGCTCAAACCAGCTGCCATGCTTCATAACATAGCTAACCAGCATATGCTGTTTTTTCAACAGGGAAATCAGTGGCTGAGGCAGCTCATGCCCTGCTGCGGTTGAAATGAGCTCATCTCTGCTGGAAGAGCCTCATCTGCTTTCTTCTCTGAAGGAGGACATCACGCCCATCAAGACGCTTGTGACTTTAAAGGGGAGCAATTCAGAAGAGAATGTTGCACGCACTGATAACAAAAGAACGGCATACGCAGGGTCTGGTGGTAAATCACACACTTTTATTATCAGCTTAGTCGTTGAATTTGTACAAAGAGATCAAATAATGCAATTACAAGACTAGACCATTGGACATTGTGATACGCACACAAAATCAGACAAAGGGGGCTGATCGCAGCAGGGCAGCTATGCAAACTGGAGCAGACGACAGATCAGGTAAACAGGGCCATGTTATGTGGTTTCGGAAAAGCATTAGCAGCACGCACACACACACACACACACACACACACACACACACACACACACACACACACACACACAGAGAGAGAGGCACAATTCACTAGCACACCAGGTGGAGAAGTTCACATGTCAGCACACACACACACACACACAGAGAGAGAGGCACAATTCACTAGCACACCAGGTGGAGAAGTTACAGCAAACACATGTCAGGACAAAAGTGTCACCACATCATTAAGTTCACAGTGGACCAGACTCTAACCAAGATGTAGGTCACAGATAGAAAGCTTTCTCATCAAACATTATAGTCAGCAGTCAGGAGTGGGTTTGCCTCTGATTCTGTCAGTCCTGGATCATCAGTGCTTCTTCAGGCAGCAGTTGTAAAAGCTTTCCATTGTATGCTGAATACTAGAGCAGTGCGTTTTTGAATGTTGCTTAAATGCAGATTTATCAGTCAAAGAGCTTCACAAATCTCTGAAATTCTACTTCTAACGCCTGTGAAAGGAGCTTGTTTTTAGAAAGCATCACCTAAAGGAGCCAGTGACTGACCCAGGGATAATGTTCAAAACTGGAGGAGCTCATCAGTAAAGAGGCACTTGAGAAATGAGAAATACTACATCAGATTAAGGCACCACAAACAACAGTTACAACGGATCTTTGGAACAACAAAATATAGTCAGCAGTCAGGAGTGGGTTTGCCTCTGATTCTGTCAGTCCTGGATCATCAGTGCTTCTTCAGGCAGCAGTTGTAAAAGCTTTCCATTGTATGCTGAATACTAGAGCAGTGCGTTTTTGAATGTTGCTTAAATGCAGATTTATCAGTCAAAGAGCTTCACAAATCTCTGAAATTCTACTTCTAACGCCTGTGAAAGGAGCTTGTTTTTAGAAAGCATCACCTAAAGGAGCCAGTCACTGACCCAGGGATAATGTTCAAAACTGGAGGAGCTCATCAGTAAAGAGGCACTTGAGAAATGAGAAATACTACATCAGATTAAGGCACCACAAACAACAGTTACAACGGATCTTTGGAACAACAAAATTTACACACTTCAGTTTTACACACTTAATACAACTTATTTTCTAATCTGTCTGTCTGGGGCTGCATCACCTTTTCAATGAATTGCAATGTTAGACAATGAACTATACATTTCATTCTGAAGACGGTAAGAATCTGATAAACTTTAATGAATCACCATACACAATGTTAGACTTGTTCTGTAAATAATATTGCACAGGTTACTGCTCCGAGGTGAAGGAAAGGACACTTCGACTTTCCACTATCTATCTATCTATCTATCTATCTATCTATCTATCTATCTATCTATATATCTATCTATCTATCTGTCAGTCACAAGATTGGTAGATGGGAAAAAAGAAAAAATAACTTATTAAACCATTTAGATAAACTGGGAAAGCCTTTATATTTGTCTACAAATTAACATTTTTTTCCTAATAATATACTATGGGATTAGAGGATTGTTAAACAACGGATGGTTGGAAATGAATGCATGTCAAAAAACTAATTCATATTTCAAGTATACACTGGTCTGTTACATGAAAAAATCTAATATGTAAAAGTACATTCAAATTCTTTCATATGATTCAATCATACAGTCGCTTTTAGAAATGACATTAAACACTGGGATAACCTTCAAATCAGCTCTCTATGACTGATAGATTTCACTTCAAGCCAGTCTGTACTAACTGTCATTTGTATGCTGAGAATGTGTGATATGAACAGCCTCTGCTTCTCTCATGAATGATATATTGAATTGTGCTGAAGCTAATACAGCTTCTGTGTTGTGTTGTGTTGTGTTGTAGAGAAGATATTCTCAAAGTCTCTGCTATAGAGATATAAATGCTAATCTAATCTCTGTAATGTTACTTCAATATTTTGGAAGGTTAATTAACGAGTTCCTGAGAACAGCACCTGAAATTAGCAGAGGTAATTAATAAGACTGGTGGAAAACACACACACTCTCACACACGCAATGAATGGTTGTGGAATGTCACACGTTCGGTTCATTTAATATGGCTAGTTTGTGAATTCTTTGACAGGACAATTCCCACATTAACAATTAGTAGCTACTCATTAAGCCATAATAATCACTTGGTTAATTTTTAACAATGACTGAGTAATTGTGTGTCAAATCTCATCTAAGTAACTCGGCCACATACCATGATTGAACATCACAATCACAAAGGCCAGCTCACAGAGAACAGGTTGTGACAGTGGGAGGGGCTTTAGCTCTGTGGGAGGAGCCCCTTCTTGTAGGCAACCACTCCTGCTGCTGTGGCCAGAGCCAGGAAGGAGGACACGCCCATGAACTTCAGTAATCCCCCAACGGATGGCAAGTTTCTTTCCCAAAATGTTGTGACAAACGGCCGGGCCGGGACATCCTGAGAAAAAGTGTTCAGAGTAGAATTTGTTCAAGATCCAAAACTAAAAATGCTTTTTTTGATATTTATGGATTCGATGAAAACATGTTTCTTAAGTGCATTCAAAAGTGCAATTCATACCAATGATTCAGGCTCTGGCTGCCAGATCTGACTCGCATGGAGTTTTCCCATTGCACACAAAATCTGGAAGAAAGAAGCATACAGTATTTAGAGTTTTTCCTTCAAATAACAAATCAGACATAAACTTCAGTTAGCATTTGCATTTAAGACATTTAGCAGACGCTCCTATCTAGAGCAAATGACAAAAAGTGCTTTAGTTTTATATACAAGATCGTTAACAGATGGCAAGCAAGTGTATGTGTTAGTTTAGAAGAGCTTCCTGTACACACTACTGTTCAAATGTCTTGGGTCAGTAAGATTTAAAAAAAAATTATACATAATTTAATGCAATTATCAATACAATTTAATATTAGCAAGGATACATTAAATTGATCAAAAGTGACAGTAAAGACATTTATAGTTCTAAAAAAAAATTTCTAGTTCAAATAAATATTTGTATTTTTTCTTTCTATTCATTAAATATTCCTGAAAAAAATATACACCACATTTTCCACAAAAAATATCCAGCATTTTTCAAAAATAAATCCCCAAAAATATCAATAATATCAAATAAATATATCAAATCAATAAATATAAAAATATCAATAAGCATGAATACATGCACAAAATGAAGTCGATTGTGACGTGGTAAAATAGACTCCCAAAAAAACAAAAGACCAATCAAAATTCAGTTATATTGCAATGACAGATTTTTAAACTTTGAGATGAGAGCTTTTTGTTTCTTGCACTGATATATTTCCTGTTGAAACAGGAAGTTTGGGCAGAACTATGTTTTTTATAAATATCTCAGATCTCAGTAACTATTGGCTAAGAACGCACTTCTCTGCTGGCTCTCTCTCCAGCTTGCACGGCCCCCTCCATGTAACCGCTCCACTCTGTGGCTGTTTCAGTTCCTGCAAAGTACAGCCTGCCCACTGACTCCCTCAGGACCCTGAAACAGAGAAACGGTCACTTCTCATCTCAATTCCTGCTCTAGTTTACCATCAGCAGGCTAGCATAATGCTGAACCATCCGGCAGTGCACTAACCTGCCATACTGTGTCATGATACCAGGGGGGAAGTAGGCAGTGTAGCAGCCACCAGAGTACTCCTCCTCACACCAATTTTTCTCCTCGTAGTGCACAGGCTAAAGAAGATATCACCATAAAAATGAAGCGTGAACATTTCTTAAAAAATTATAAGACTAAAGGATGACTTCTGGTCATGGAGACTCACATGTAATGCTTCTTCTGAGCCGAGCACACGGGCATAAATCTCACAGATCCTTCTCTTTCTGAAATGGTTTACAACATTCTGGTAAGAATAATCATTTCAGCATAAAGTGTGCACAGACGTAGTAGTGACATTTTACCAATATGAAAACTAGAGAAAGAAATATCTACCTCTCCTCTTTCGTCAGGCCTGCTAATTTCCTGGATTTTCGTGCCAGGATGAAACTGTAAAGAGGAGCCAGCTTACTGTCCTGTCACCTCAAACATCTCAATTATTTTGTTTGTAGTTCATGTTCATCCTACGATAGAAAGCTCATTGCTTTATTTACCCCATTATAGCAGGCACAGACCCATCAGGCTTAGTGTCGTCAAGAGTGAGACCAATAGGTGCTTCCTCCTCTTCGATCACCATGCTGCCACAGTATCCTGAAAAAAGAAAACAGCCCAGGTTAGCATAAAGACTGTGTAGCCAGTGTTATTTTAGTATTATTTACAATTTTTAATAATATTTTGAATTAGCTTTTATTTTTATATTTTCAGTTTTCATTTTCATTTAGTTTAGATTTTAATCATTTTATGTGCTTTTTTATATTTAAATATATTTATTTATTTCAGCTTTAGTTTTAGTCATTTTAGTACTTCAACCTATTTTATTTTAGTTGGTTGCCAATGCAACATTTCTAATTTTCATTTAAGTTTAAGTTTTTCATAATATTTCATTTCAGCTTTATTTCAAATAACAAAACCAATTTTTAATTGTTTTAGTTAACAATAACAACACTGCATGCATTCAATGCCACTTCAGTCCCAAGATTCGTTTGTAAAAAGTGGTAGAAAGTGGACAAGAAGTACAGACCTTTCTTCCTCCAGAAGTTCTCTTTGTAGTACACCATGCATTTGATGACTGAGCCCATGGGGACTCTATGAATGAGCTGGTTCCTCAGAGGGGGCAGTTCAGGGTTGAAATGGATCTTCAAGTTCAGCCCTGGTGGTATGGCAAGTATAACATATTTGGCCTACAAGAAAAGAGAAAAAGAAAATTCTTAATTTTTTTTTTTTTACAAATACATCATTTCAGATAGTTAAGTGTTAAAAGGACTGTTGTGTAGGAGGCATGGTCAAACCCCATAAAGCATCAGCACTGTGCCCATTAACAACATTTAAAGCTGCTGTAAGAGATTTTTTTTTGTTTTCAGCAGCCATTACTCCAGTCTTCAGTGTCACATGATCTTTCTAATATGCTGATTTAGTGCTCAAGAAACAATATATACATACTGTATATATATCTATATTGTGTACAATCTCACCTTGTATATCTCCTCATTAACTGTCCTGACCTCCACGAGGTCTCCAGTCTGGTCAATGCTGTAGACAGCTCCGCCCAGCTTCACACGGTCACCCAGCTCTCTCGCCATCGCCTCACTGATTTGATTGGCACCTCCGGCAAACTTGCGCTCCTGTCATATGGGGCAGCAGAAAACAGTTTTCCATACTTTGGTTAGATCTTGTATGTAATAAATATGATCGGTTTACTAGTCATATACATAAACATTCACATTTCAACAAGGATTAAAATTCTTTAATTCACCAATAGGTGTCTCTGTCTCTCAGAGATAGAATTATTATAGAGTTGTATAATACTGCCCACCATGCACAGACCTTATCAGACAAGTTCAGAATATAAAACAGGTTAAAGAACAGAAACAGGCAGATCATGACTGTTTATTGACAATGTCATTCCATAGGGAGTTAAAGATAAAAGAAGTGACATTTTGTTATCAATTTAGCAAACAAAACTGTTATTTGCTTTATTTGTGTATTATCAGAGGACACATTTGCTAGAAGGCTCCTGATA